CACAACATGAAGTACTGTAATAAAGGGTCGTGCCGTTAGGAAGGTTGAGAACCACTGTTCTAGTTCCTGTGAACTCTAGTTCATGGGTGTAAGTGACCAGAATCAACCTCTTTCAATTGTTAATTTGCTTCCATTTCTACTCACCAAGTGATTCTAGTTGGTCCCCTAGCAAGCATTTGAGACTTTCTACATGTCCCCTAAGTTTCACTCCTAGAGGGGGTAGTTCTCTGGTGAGTGCAGACTTTTGGGGCATAGGTGCCTTCACAAGCAAACTGCTTATTTTAAAAAGTCTGTTACATTTTTTTTTAATTTCTCTCAAAAATCTATCAACAGTTCTAGTTGCATGTCATTTCATGTACAAATGGCTGGTACTCAAGGCACTGGATAAGGCTTACCCTTTCTAAGCTTTCTGTCTGCTTCAAACAAAAAGACATTTCCTACAGGCAATTCCTAATGTCTATTTTAACAGATCTGATTGTAGAACACTGAAGGCAGGCAATCATACAAGCTCTAAAAATAATATCCAAAATTCATTTAGAACACATTATGTCAATAAAAGTAGGATAAATCACTATAACCCTAATATAACCAGACCCTAAACACAGTTATTTTTTTTTTGTTTAAGACATTCTAATTAAATCCTTTCATATCTAGACTCTTCTACTCATATATGCAACATAGCTTTAAGTAGCTGGTAGAATCAAAGCAGAGCCTTGTCTTCTATCAGCCATTCTGATTAAGGAACAAGGCTTTTGCTTCAGAAATTCCAAAAGGGATTTTAATTTCTTATTGTTCAACACAACTTCCATTACATTCTTCTCCTTCATTTTAGTTGGAATAACCAAAGACAACTTCTAAGAATCAACAGTTTCACTTACCATGCCCTTTCCAGATAACAACCAAGTAAACCACAAGGGCATGCCTGAGTTCCTCTGGCTATCAAAAGGAGATAGAAAACCCTGTCCTACCTGATTGCCAAGAGATAGAATCATACAAGCCTCTATTCTCTCTCTTTATGATTTATTTCTCTAGCATCACACTCCTGGTAGCATATGTATTAGGCTGGGTTGTCTAGGAAAACAATCTAGTGACACTCATCTATGTCCAAGAAAGAATTCCATATCAAGAAGAAATAACATCAAGAAGGCATGCCATCCCAGTACAACTCAAGTCCAGGTCTGATGGTAACGGGGCCCCTCTTCATATTCATGTAGCTGCAGGCCAATGATGCCAAAAGCTGAAGCAGTAAGCAGAGAGAAGGGGAAAGAGGGTGTGGGGAGAAGCCGAGTCCTGTGGATCCAAGGTTGGTGGAAACATGGCCAGGAGTTAGTTGACAACTCTCTAAGTCAGGAAGCTTATATTGGGCCACCCCTGGAAGAAGGCACAGAGTCCCAGGAAGCAGGAGTAAAAGGGGTAAAGAGAAAGAGGAGGGATCCCTAGTGTCTGTCTTATTAAAAAAGCCACACTTCCCAGGAGACATAATCGGGCTATGATATGATTGACAGGTGGGACTCCACTCCTCCACAAGTGCAAGTTTACATAAAATCTAACTGCCATAGAAGGTGACCCAACAGAATGTACAAATCACAGAAAAATATTATTGATATCATATGTAATAATTTTTCCTGAAGAATATCCACTAGTAGTTATCAGAGATTCAAGCTGGATTTGGAAGAAGAATGGAAACAGGGGATTCATGGTTGGCATTGTAGAGATCTTGCCTGAAAGTGGAGACTACCAGAAAAATATGACTTGTGCTTCGTTGACTAGACAAATGCTTTCAACTGTGGGGATCATAACAAACTATGGATAGCCTTAAGAAGAATGAGAATCCAGAAAACTTGATTGTGCTGGTATACAACTTGTACATGGTTCAAGAGGTAGTTGTGGGAACATACCAAGGGAATATTGCATTGGGATTTATCCCATCATATTTATTAAATGTATATGCTTTACAAACAATCAGAGAAGCTATATTATACAAAGTAGAATGCAATATCAGAATGGGAGGAGGGCTTAATAGCAACCTGTGATATACAGATGACATACTTTGCTGGCTTTAAATGAAGAAGACTTGAAGCATTTTCTGATGAAGATCAAGATTGAAGTCTTCAGTATTGTTCAAAATGTAATATGTATGGGTTCTTGGCCCCATTGTATAGATTGGGAGCCAGAGGCCCAAAGATGCCCAGATGGCAGATGTGAACTGAAAGGGCAACAAAACAAAACAAAACAAAAAAACAAAACAAAAAAAACAACAAAATGTACTGTGTAGAAACAAAAACCCTCACATTTGTATCAAGAGGCAATACAAAAAGATAGAAGTTATCAAGGATTTAGTCTTACTTAGATCCACACTCAATGCACATTGAACAAATAGTCAAGAAATCAAATGATGCGTTGTATTAGGTAAATCTGCTGCTCACAACATCTTTAAAGCATTGAAAAGCAAGAATTCTACAATGAGGACTAAGGTTTGTCTGACTCAAGCCATGGTAATTTTAACTGTGAGTGTTAGTCATTGAATAAGGAAGACCAAAGAAAAAGTCAATGCTTTTGAGCATTGGTTTTGGTGGAAAATTGGACTGAAAAAGAAGAAACAGATCTGTTTCAGAAGTACAGCCAGAATGTTCCTTAGAGACAAGGATGGCAGACTTAATCTTTAGTACTTTGGACGTGTTATCAGGAGAGACCAGTCCCTGGGAAAGAAAAGCATGCTGGGAAAAATCGCGAGACACTGAGAAAGTGGAAGGCCCTCAGTGAAAGGGACTGACGCAGTAGCTGCAACAATGGGCACAAAGATGACAATTATGAAGACTGGGTGATGCTTCATTTAGTAACTCTGTTGTAATTTACTCAACAGCAGCTAGCAAGAACAACAATGGCCAATAATCATGAGAAATTCTTCATGAGTTTGTTTGCTGAATGAATTTATTCTTTGTAACGTCTGTTCATGTCTTCAGTCATTTTTTATTTAGATTTTTTTCTTTTTGTTGTTGAGGTATTGAAGTTTCATAAGTTTTAGAAATTAATCCGTTGTCTGATATGCCATTTTCAAGTTTTGTTTTATTTTACTGACAGTACTATTTTTACTTTTATGGTGGTCTTTTGATGCATATAAATAATTAATTTTTAGGATACCTCTCTTGTATACTTTGATTTTCCCAGTTTCCATTAATCTCTCAAAAGTCTGATTATTTTCTTTTTTCCATAAGCATTCACTCTTATAAATGACCACAAATTCCTTTGGGAAAGGGTGGGAGAAAGACTAACAATATCAACTGTTGATGGTATAGTTAGGTAATTTCTTAAGGGAACTTGGGGTTTGAGTCTACAAGTGCTGCAAGTGTAAGAATTGATTGAGGGGTAGTGACTCTCTATTCTGGTCATTTGAGTTAGACTAATGTTTACATGAACTAGATTATTTCTACTTATGTTAGGGATCATCACATTATATGAAAGTTTTAAAACGTATTAAAGATATAACAAACATCAAAGCAAAGAAAAAAAGATCAGAAGTATATTCAGATATCTCAAGAATGGTTCAACAATTGCAGTAATTGGGTAATTTTAGGCTTTTCATCTTGAAACGTATAAGGGGATACCTGAAACTGTACAGACCTGCACTGGGTGCAATGGAGCTCTCACAAAAGCATTTTCCACTAAGAGAGCATCAAGCAACTTGCTCTGAGTTCATGCACCCAGTGGCATCATCTGGGAAGGTTCTCTCTAGTTACAGTTAAATTTTTTTGTAAAAGCAGTCTTGTTAGAACCTCAGTTTTTGTGATGGCCAATTTAACAGTGTGTGGCTATGAAATTGTGTTTCCTGCTCAGGGAAAAATGCCTCAGAAACTGTGGTGATGTTGAACACAGATTACAAGGACACCACTGTGGGAAAAAGTCAAGTGTTAGAGTGGTTTTCTCATTCTCAAAAGGGTGAAATGTCCATTGATGACAAACCTCATTCCGGATGTCTGTCAACTTCCCAAATGGATAAAAATGTTGACTACTAGTGCATTTTGAGTTTATTCCACCAGACTATGAATCAAGTCTTTTATTTAGAGGTTCTGAAAAGATTGCATAACAGTGTGCAAAACAAGGGCCTGATTTTTGTAGACAGGGGACTCATTTTTCCACCATGACAATGCACCTCCTCATGCAGCCATCTCAGTATGCCAGTTTTTGGCAAAATAAACCAACCCAAAACCAGCATGTGTCTCTTGCTCTGCATACCTTACTCACCTGATCTAACACCTTTTCACTTCTTTTTGTTTCTGCAAGTAAAGAGGGACATGAAAGGACAGTGATTTGGCAATGCAGAAGAGGAAAATAAAAAAATGAGGGAGGTGCTGTTAGCCATCCAAGCAAATAAAGTTTGAAAAATGTTTCAAAGAATGGAATTTGAGATTTCATAAACCTATTAAGTGTAATGGATAGTACTTTTTGAACATTTTATAAAAAAAAAATTAAAATTTCTAGCTTTGAAAAAAAATTGTTTTGGGGGTACCCTCACATATATTAGTCAAATATGCAAAGCTTGTGATAAAATTAATATCACTTTAAAATGAAAACAAATATGTTAAGGGAAAAATTAGCCATTAGTGAAATTTAGAATGAATAAAATTGAATCAAGAAAGTTGAGCAAAATTTGAGATGTTAAACTATTAACTAAATAAAGAGAATTCTAAGGAATATCAAAGTTTTTGATGAATCAGAAATACATACAAATATCATGTATATGAGGCTTTGCAAGAAGAGACAAAGTAATCAGTAGAAAATGTAAGTATAGGAAAATTATCAACATATAATTCCTATACAAATCAGAAATTTAAGTTGCAGTGTTGTTAGAGAAGAGTTACTTTTTGTTAAAACTGAGATTATAATCATAAAGCTTTGTGATATATTCATCTCTTAGGCAAAACAGCTGCAAACTGCTGTTTAATGACATAAGAGGGAACGTAATTTGTCTTTCTATTCCACTTTAGTCATGCTTCCATTACTCAGCTGCTCTTAATATTCCATAGGATTTTGCTTAGAGCTGATTTAATATCCTTGTTCCTGAGACAGTAGATAATGGGATTCAAGGTTGGTGGGACCACAGAATAGAACACAGACACCAGAAGGTCTATAGGAGAAGGTGCACTTGAGACTGGCTTTAAATAAGCAACAGCCCCTGTTACAAGGAAAGCACTCACCACAATGAGGTGAGGCAGACAGGTGGAAACGGCTTTTGATTGGCTCTGTCTGGATGGGATCTTTAACACGGTGGAAAAAATGTGCACATAGGACAGCACAATGCAGACTAAACAGGAAAAGGCATAGCAGACTCCTATAGCCACACTGATGTTGATGGTGGTATGTTCTTCAGAACAACTGAGCTGCAGGAGTGCAGGGACATCACAGAAGAACTGGTGTATCCTATTGGAGTCACAGAAATTAAGAGAAAATGTTCCCACTGAGTACAAGACTCCTAGGGCCCCACCATTGAACCAAGACACAGCCATCATCTGCACACACACCCCTGTGTTCATGATGGCCTCATAGTGTAGAGGGCGGCAAATGGCAACATAGCGATCATAGGACATCACAGTGAGAATGCCAATCTCAGATGCTGCCAGGAGCACCACCAAAAAGAGCTGAATCACACAACCCAGGAAAGAAATGGAGTCCGTGAAGGTGATGGAGTTGACAATGGATTTGGGTACAGTGGCAGAAACGAGACACAGATCTGCGAAAGACAGATGCCTGAGGAAAAAGTACATTGGAGTGTGGAGGCGTTGGTCAAGAATTGTGAGGAGGATGATGAGAACATTTTCCATTGTTGCCACAAGGAAAATCATCAAGAAGAACGCAGCATGAAGCATCAACAGCGCCCAATTCTCAGTGAATTTCATAAGCAAGAATTCCATCATTAATGTGTGATTGGTCATGTTTAAAAATTATAATCCACCTATTAAATAAAGCAAATAAAGTTTGGTTAATATATTAATATCACTAATTATTTAAGAAGGCTGTGTGTGCAAAAGAGTCCTTAGACACTAGGCACAAGGGAAACATACAAACAAAAACACTTAAGTTCTCATCTATTTCCCCAAACATTAGCATTTTATAATCAGCCAAAAGCACCTTGAAAGACAGGACAGGTGATCTGCTTATGAAAGACCACAGAGCAGTTGTGCCCTGCTATACTCACGGGTGGTCATCATGAGTAGGGGTGTCCAATTGAAAGCAACTAATAAGATGGACTATTTGAACTCACACAATAGTAGCACGCAGAACACATGAACTCAAAACCTGCCTCTGTTTAGAATACAAAATGAAAATCCTATGGAGCGCAACCATCTTTAAAAAATTGGGTTTCCATGAGTCAGCATCAACTGGGGAGCAACTAAGGACATTAGTTTAGACAAAAAGTTTAGAGTTACCAGAATAGTCAGATTTTAGTCCGACTGATGTAAAATAACTGGGTATGAGTTGTTTTGCTTTTAGTATAATATCTAATGTGTTGCTATCAAGCAATCTCAACTCTTAGCTGCACTATAGAGATCCCAAGGCCATATCTTTATGGACTGCTATGCCCACCTCTTTCTCCGACAGTCTTCTAGTTTGAACTTCTGGTCTTCTAATTAGCAACAAACGTTTTCACTACTGCACCAACAGTTACCCGTAGATTAAATACCTGGTACAGAACACACATACACACAATTGTTAGAATGCTAGCTAGTTATTATATCAGTTTTTAAATATATTGTGATATTTTTCATGAAAGAGACCAATCAAGCTTGAGACTATGAGTCAGATAATTAACATAATTACTGTTTAGGATTTAATTAACCACAAACTAACAAATACAGATAAGGGTTTCACCTGATGAGAGAGGCAGCATGTCTTCCTATCTTACATAGCCACATATGTAACATAGGTTACTAATAGAACCCAAGATTGATTTGAGATCAAGCATCCTTTTTTGAGCTCAATCTCAAGAGCTATTCTTTAATTATATACCAGCATCACTTCAATTACAATGTCTTCACATCCCTAATCATCTCCCTTCTTTCTTCAATATTTATGTGTGTGCTTTTCAGTAAATACTCTAGTATCAGAAGGGGAAAAAAAAGCTGTTTTAATCTTTTAAAATGAAGACTTCTGATACTCAAGACTCCAATTGTTCACTGAGCACAAAAAGTAAGAGGCTCCTCCATCACCCCTGAAATATTTCTCATCACCCTCTTCTCATTAAGTCTTCTGAGAAGTTCTTGGGCTGAGCCCATCACTGCAATAGTACCTTTCTTCTTCTTGACAGTTCTATTACATCATGCAGCCAGCATGCAACAGTCTCTCCTGAAATTCAAAGGAACTGAGTATTTATATTAATCTTCTTTCACCTATAGAGAAGTTTGAATTCAGTTTAAGTTTAATGTCTTACTTATCTTAGTTTCCCAGGACTGAACACAGTCTTTGTACTAATGAAATGATGCCAGTATTATTTACTCTCCCTCTGACTGAAAGTCAAATTTTGACATCGTCACTTTGCTGCTGCTTTACAATTTGTCCTCTTCCCCTGGAAAAATGGGTTCAAAGTTTACATTGGCTTTTTAAAAAAATCTCTGCACCATTCAATGGCATGTTTTCTCAATATCGAAAAGTTCCATTTCATTCATCTTTTCCTTAAACTGTAAATCCAAGAAATAGAAAATCAGCATATACATTAATGATCTAATTGGAACAGTAAAACCGTCTCAGATGATAGACATAATTCTGGATTGTGTCTAAAACCATTATTTATGTTAACATCAGAAAACATGAATACTTATTTTAGCATCAAATGTACTTCTTAATACTTTTCTAATATGAAATCCCCTAATAATTTAATATTTGGATTCTATTTAGAACAGGTTAAATTTAGACAACTGAAAAAATAATAATTTGCATTTTTCTCTGATAGAAAAATGCTTAACATTTCTTAATTAAAAGAAATTAATTATTATGTTTTTGGGAAATAGTCATAAGTAAAATTACTCATATTTTAAAGAAAGTTAAGCATATTACATGAAAATTTTAAGTAGATTAAAATATTCAATGGACACACATTAATACTTTATATTTCATTTTCAAGGATTAATCCCACATGTGTTCATTGGCTAAGTTGGCACAATAAACTGTAACTATCTCAGCTGTAAATAGACCATTCCCATGGGCCTATGTTTTGTTTTCTCTGCATCCATATATTAAGAATGTTAGTAAAAGCAGACTTTTGCAGGATGAACATTCATACGACTCACTTAAGAGAACCGTTCCATTCTTGCACGAGTGATTATCTGAGAAGCAAATTTATAACTTTTTTGAGGTTAAAAAAAAGTTGAAGATCTTGTAAGTCATAGCAATGTACGACAACTTATCGAACAGAATCAATCTGTTGGAGAAAGACAGCCCTAGAGAGGAAGAGCCGACACATAATCCATGATGAATTTATTGGGCACTTGGGATCAGAGTGCTTCCCTACTAGGAAGTGTTATGTTTGGAGTGTTGTCTACATACTGTCAATTTGCTTCCAAACAAGAAAACCATTCATCTTGGTGTATTGTTAATAAAACTGCGTGCATAGTGTTTAAGTTTGAGCTGCTGATCACAAGGCCCGCAGTTAGAAACCACTAGCCACTCCTTTCTGCAACCACACAGAAGTAGTCTAGGAATTCACAGGGGCGGTTCTGGTCTCCCATCCCTCTGAGTCAGCTTTGACTTGATGACGGAGTTTGGTTTGGTTTGGTGTGCTTGAGGAACATTAGGGTAAACCAGGCAGAGTGAATGCTTATGTGCCTTCACAGCCTTAATATTTGACTTTGATCGTGACATTTTCTCCTTCAAGCTTATTTTTAACTCAGTTTTATATGCTAGCATCTGTAACATGTAGTTGGCAGTCACAGTATAAACTGTGCTTTTCTTCTACAGATATCATTAGTAACAATAAATCTTTGCCTGCCCCGTTTTCTTGATATACCTGTTTATAACAATTTTACATAATTAAAAAAGGTTATAAAAGGGGTATCACACTTCTAACACTGAAATGTTTATCATACATGCAATGATGCTAAAAGTAAAAATACTTAAGGGAGCTCAAAATACTGGGTGGGACAGTTTTCTATATTTCTGCATTTTCAAATAAAATTAAGAACAGCTTCTATTACCTAATCAACACAGAGCTTTTGTGTGTGGATGATAAGAAAGTTGGAAAGATTAATAATGGGTTATGAAACAAATTCTGTCACAATTGGCAGGAGAGAGATGTGAGGGAGGAAGAGAGAGAGAGAGAGGACTGATGACAGAAAAGTTACAATTATGGACGCAGTTGCAATTTTCAAGGAGGTCCATATCAACAATATTTATAGACTAATAAAAATTCTCTCAAAAATTCTACATTTCAAAATAATTTCATTGAAAAGGAGGTAACAAATAGTAACTGGAGTTTCAGAATTTCACAAATTTTATGAAAAAATAATAAAGGAGGAAAATTCTTGTTTGTAAATCAGAAAAAGAAAAACCCAGGAAATATTGCAGTTATTTTCTTACATGTTCAGAGTCCTGTTTTCAATCCTTGCATTTGGATTCATAGTGTTTTATATTCAGCAACTCTGGCCTCTGCACATCCATCTGGGCGGTCAGTCTCTAAATTCTAAATTTTAGCTGAAGTCGGGTGTTGATGTCCTGTATCTGATGTAACTCCTACTCCAAGAAGGAGCGATGATTATCAAGGATGCTTGCAGAATATAGAGGATTCTCCTGGGAGATCAAACTTTTGGACACACTTAAACTCCCCAGAGGGTACAATTTAGGAGACTCTTCATGTGTCTCTCATCTCAGATGGGAGAACGGATGCTCTTGCCTTTATATTCAATAAGAGAAAATATGTTTTCCCTCAGGTCTGGTTAGAGCACCCTTCCAGTCTTGCTTTAACAATTTCTTACATGTGACTATTGAATATCTGAAAAATCATGATGCAATTTAAATCTAGATCAACATTTACATACTGTTTACTTTGTAATAATCTCAGTCTGAAATTGAGAGGGGCAGAAAGAGATGTATAATGAGGGGTCTAGAATGTGAATCTTCAGTCGTTGGACCACTTCCATATTTCTCTACCCCACTCCCTGCCCCTGGATGCTAGTGAGTCTCCAGTGAGGTTACCTTTCCTTCAGATCCATACTAATGTCCAGAGATACCTGGGTAGAAAATTCCCAGATGATTAATTTGCAGAATCTGTAGCATTCTCAAATAATGTCAATGATGTTATCTATGAGCATCTTGAAAATCACTGTTCGTAGAAGTAGCTTACATTGTAACTTCTAAAGCCAGCTACTACTGAGTTGACCCCAGCTCCTGGCGACCCTCTCCATGTATGTCAGAGAAGGGCCCTGCTCCAGAGGATTTTCAATAGCTGATGTTTCAAAAGCAGATAAGGCTTTTCTTTGAAGGTGTCACTGGGTGGATGTGTAGATCCAAACTTTTGCTTAGAAATCAAACACATTCACCAGTAACTCAGTAGAAATTTTTATCATTATTAAAATAAGATGAGATAGATTTTCAGAGTTTGATCTTATTTTTCCCCCTTACCTGCTAGAAAAACAAAACCTAAGCATGATTATATCTACACCCCCCCTTCCCCCTGAGTTACTGTATCTGAAGTTTTGGGCCTCAAGAGGCTTTGGATGACATACCAATGTGTGTTGGATAATCCGTGTTTTTGTCATGTAACCATGTCTGTTACCATTCGCCCATTCACCATGGCCTCGGTGTTTATATCTTTTTCCTTATGAACTCCCGATACAATCATGTCATTTTGAAAACATTTGTCCAATGAACCATACTACAGTTGGCTCCATAGACATCACCACAAATAAGCTCCCTTTGTCCGTCTATGAGGCCCTGTGTGGCA